GAGGGAAAGAATCTAGGATGAGAAACCTTAAGACTTGGGGCAGACCAAAGTGAAGAGAAAGGATGAGCAGCTAATGGTATCTTCTGGGAGAGGCAGAATTGGAGAAGATGGAAAGAAATTGTGTGTGCCCACTAGAGAACCTTTTCCCTTTGGGAGTCTGGAACAGAATTGGGGATTTCTAAGTCTTGTGTTACCTTCTCTTGTCAGCAAAATAATGTAAACTTGGCAAAGTGTCTCTTTCCAGTGCTTGTCCACAGAGAGAACAGCAGTATAGTCCCCCGATGTTTTGTCTTCTATGTCATATGCCACATGATGGGAATCCAAATTGTGCTTTTTGGTTTTCAAATAAGTTAAGTAACTTATTTCAGAGACAAACACTAAGAAGTTGGGAATGCCAGTCTTAAGGTTGTCTGTACTACTTAATAAATAAAAAAAAACAACACTGGAGTTTAACTTACGGTATTGTTTTTAATTACACTATTATGTGGTGTTTTTCTGTAGGAGCCTTTGCACCAAATTTTGCAGAGTTTTGTAGGGAGTAAATCAGTGTTGTCTAGTGAAGCAAGTTTGTCTGATCTTCTCCTTAGCCGAAAATACAGTGAATAAAGCAGGTAATTGCAGAAAGAGAAAGCACACACTATTTAAACTGTTAAATATTGTTATTCAGTTATTTTATACTATTGCTGTCTGTACATTAGAATTTTGGGGTGATGCACAACCAAACTTTTCAGAATTGCTCACTAACTATACATATGACCTATTTTCATAGTGCCTGATTTGAGACTTTGGTTATTAATTTTCAGAAATGTTGAGCGCTCACAACTACAGCAGCAATCCATGGCTGGTTTTTTTGAACATGTAATACTTTCTATCCTGAAAATTTAGGTCACAGTTTGGGCATCCAAAATAATCAGATAGCATTTTCAATTGATCTTTGTGCCTTCATTCCTCCTCTGTAAAATGGTGATAACACACCCTTGCTTAGAATGACAGAATGGTTGCGGTTGGAAGGCGCTTCTGAAGGTCATCTTGTCCAACCTCCCTTCTCAAGCAGGGCCACCTAAAGCCAGTTTCCCAGGACCATGTCTAGATGCTTTTGAATACCTCCAAGGAAGGAGACTCCATAACCTCCCTCGGCAACCTGTTCCAGTGCTTGGTCACCCTCACAGTAAAAAAAGTGTTTCCTGATGTTCAGAGGGAACCTCCTGTGTTACAGGTTGTGCCCATTGCCTCTGGTCCTGTCACTGGCCAGCTCTCTCAGCTTTTCCCTATAGGAGAGATGCTCCAGTCCCTCCGTCATCTTCTTGGCTCATAATTGGGCGCTCTCCAGTATGTCCACGTCTCTCTTGTATTGGGGAGCCCAGAACTGGACCCAGCACTCCAGATCTGTCTCATCAGAGCTGAGTAGAGGGGAAGGATCACCTCCCTCAACCAGCTGGCAATACTTTCCCTAGTGCAGCCCAGGATACCATTAGCCTTCTTTGCAGCAAGGGCACATTGGTGGCTTATGTTCAACGTGCTGTCCACCAGGACCCCCAGCTTTCCTGCCAAGCTGCTTTCCAGCTGGGTGGCTCCCAGTGTGTACTGGTGCCTGGGATTGTTCGTCCCCAGGTGCAGGACTTCGCAGTACCCTTTGTTGAACTTCATGACGTTCCTGTCAGCCCATTTCTCCAGCCTGTCAAGGTCCCTCGGGATGGCAGCACAACCCTCTGGTGTATCAGCCCATCCTCCCAGTTTTGTGTCATCAGCAAAATTCCTGACGGTACATTCTGCCCCATCATCCAGATCATCAATGTAGATGTAAACCAGGAATGGACGCAGTATTAACCCCTGGGGCACACCACTAGTTACCAGCCTCCAACTAGACTTTGTGCTGCTGATCACCACCCTCTGGGCCTCTGGGCCTGGCCATTCAGTTTTCAATACACCTCACTGTCTGCTCATCCAGCCCATATGTCAACAGCTCATCTATGAGTATCTTAGGGGAGTGTCAAAGGCCTTATTGAACTCAAGGTAGACAACATCCACGCCTCTCCCGTCATCTACCGGGCCAGTCATTTCATCATAGAAGTTTGTCAAGTTGATCAAGCATGACTTTCCCTAGGTGAAGCCATGCTGACTACTACTGATGATGTTCTTGTCTTTAATGTGCCTGAAAATGGTTTCCAGGATTAGCTGCTCCATCAGAATTTTCTTTAGAGCCAGGTTTGAACACTGTCTTAGCAGGTTCCAGAGCCATGCATCCAAAAATATGAGGTGAAAATTTGAGCGCCTTTCATCTTGTGTTTTGAAATAGGGAAGATTCTGTGGAAAAAATAGAATGTGAATATATGCTATGATGTCCCTGAAAGACTACAGATCGTTTTACTTTGTATGTTTTATCTTCTGGAAGTGGTTAATAAGTATCACTCCATAAGCCCAATTACAGTGATATTTAAAGAGTAATTTGCAGCCTGCATGGTTTTTATGAGATGTAAGGTTCACTGTAAGAAGGGTTTCTGTGGTTCTTCTCTGCGAATGCAATGTATGTAGATCATATCAGGATTGATTCTCTGACCATTTAAAGGTAAACGTAGTGTGTAACACCTTACTAGCTGAATGAAGATAGGGAGAGACATATTTTAGAATTTGGTTTTGTAATAAGTAGATTGCTTTTTTATTATCTTTGCATTTTTTAAGTGGTGTTGAATTTTATAATTACATTACTCTTACTTTTACATAGAGTTCATTTAAATAAAAGAAATTGTTCCAGAAAAAAGTAGCTAATATCAGGATATCAATCTCTTGTACTTCATCAGTCATTACACACTGTAGTCTACATATTGCTTCTGTCTATTGCAATTCTGTTTAAGCCTTTATTGTTATAATACCCCAGAAAGTTGTTACTAATGATCTAAACATTTGCTGTTTAGAGACAAATTTGTTTTGAGCCAAGTAATTTAAGGCCTTGGTCTAAGGAAGAATGCCATTCTATAAATATCAGTCAGATTATTTATATGTTTCAAAAAGGTACATGCTTCAGTGTTTTCTTGAAGGGGAGCTTTTGCCATGTTCTTTTATACTTTAGAAGTGTATCAGAAGAATTTTTATTTCAAATGGGTTGAATTAATAAAAATGAGACCTTTCTGATTGTGTCCAGATAACTTTTCAAGACAAAGTCTTGTACAACAAGAGGAGATCTGTGCTTTGAAAGAAACAGTTGAACAACTTGATAAAGAGAAGGCATCTTTGCAAGACTGTGTGGAAGAAGGAAGAGAGAAGATTGCTACTTTTGAGGAAAACCTGGCAATTAAAGTATGTTCTAACATGTACATAGTCACATAGTCACAAAAGGTAAATAGGGAAAGGATCTGTTGGGTCATCACACTTATCTTATACTGGTATCTGTAACAGTGCTCAATGCTGACCTAGTTCTGCTCCAGTTTCGAGGCAACAATAAAACTCATGTTGACTTCAACAGCAGTAGGTTTGAGCAGCGTTGAGCATATCATGTTTGATGTTTTGTATGCTTTATGTTTATCATGAGAGGAGACTTTAAGTACTTTCCTGAAGTGGAAAAGAGTAAATTAGCCAATAAAATATTTTGTTTATTATAAAGTTTAGCCTAAATTCTTCCTTGGGGTCCACTGATGTTAAAGATGCAGGGTGCCAAATAATATTGCCTTTGTTGTCATCAAAGAAGCATCAGAATTGTATTCTTTTCACCTTAAGGTATATTGCAGTGTGGTTTCAAACTATATAATGAAGCTGCTTTGTTCTTAGTTCTGAAACATTATTTTTCACTTCAGCTTACGTCACCTGAATATTGATTTAGGATAAACTAAATAAGGTATTTTTTAACTGTTGTGATTGTTAACTCAAGAATTTACACTGATTTTTAACAAAATCTTAAAGAAAAGATATTGCAGGACAGGCTAAAATCATCTTGCCATACGCACTGGCTTTGCATTTTCAAAACTGTGAATTGTAAAACAGTGTCCATTTAAGAGAAGAAATGGCTGTCTCTCACCTCTCTTGTGTCTCCAGTGGAAGACATTTCCTTAGCCTATCTATGCTTCTTTTAATATCTGTATCCAAAGACTAAGGGAGTAAATTAATATACTTTGTAATGGAATTCTTGTTTTATCAATTACAAACTACTAGACTCTGGTAGTTTATTCATTGTAGAAAAGCTGTGATAACTTATCCAATAGGCAGAAGACATCATTTAGTTTTGGTAGTGTGAGCCAAACACTACCTTTAGAACCACAATGGACTAAAAAATTTAATTAAAATTATTATATTCTGCAGAAGATAATAATATTTGTTCCTTTATTTGCCAAATTAGATTATCAGAATTTTCAGCTCTAAACAGTACATGATGAAACTTGGAAAACCACAGTCCATTTTGCATTAAATAGTTGAATTAATCAGCTAGCTGAATAAAAAGAAAATATAAATAATCTTATTTAATTTTTTTCCATTTATACTGAGGAGAGGTGAGAGGTTTATTTTAATTTTTGTATTTCTTTTTAAGGAGAAAATAATTTCAGATTTCAAGATTCTGATTTCTGAGTTGGAGCATTCAACAAAGTAAGGATGAAATTTCAAGATCATTATCTAATTTTGATTAATTTATAATATTAACTCAAAAATCAAATCATAGGATGTGCTAATGTATAAATATTTTTTTTACTCTATTAAACATTAAAATGTTATAGCTTTGTGTCATGACTTGTAAACTTAACCACTGGAAAAGCTGTCATTTGTATTAGGTTGGGCAGTACTGTCGTACCTGAAGTATTTATTATTTGCTGCATAGAAAATCTGCTGAAGCACTCTGTATCTGTGAGAAAGATATCACCAGTTTGCATCAACAGCTACAAGAAACCAACAAAGAACTTGCAGAGATTAACAAGAACAGAGAGTCATTAGCTCAGGAGAATGACAGGTTGCAACAGCATCTTTCTAATATTAAGCAAGAAAATCAGGTATATTTGTACCCTTGACTAAAAGGGAAAATTGTGTATTTTTCAAGTAGTGCATAGAACTGGTGGGACCTCATCTGAAGTAAATCTGCAAACTAGTTTTTAAGCTAATTTTTCCAAGTCTGATTTTTCCCTTATTGCTCAGCTCACTTGTATAAAGAGGACCAGCTATTCTTATCTAATGGTTTGGATGTTGATCTTGAGGAACAGCTAATTAATGTTTTTTTCTGATCTTCATGTAAAACACTGTGGCAGTTATAACTATTGCTTATATGGAAAAGTACTATAAAGGCGGCAGCGAGTATTTCTTTTACTGTGCTGTGGCTGGCCTAGAGTACTTAAAAGCTTATGAATTTGACTTGCTAATAATTTAACACAGTACACACTTTAATAAGGTTCAAAACTTTATTAATAGTATTGTATTTACGTTCCTTTAAAGTGGCTTTTGGATAGAAGATGCTGGAAATATTTGGTTGTAATACAACATTACATTATCTACTGTGTTATTTATCTTTGTGCAGTTACTAATGAAAGTAGTTAAAATACTTAAACTAAAGTGTCATCTCATGCATGTACAATGCTCATGCATCAATGTGTTTTCCAAGCAGCTTGCAATTAAACTTAATTAAGCTTAATACCTGTAGTGGTTCATCACTGTGTAATGTTCTGTTTTTTCTTCTTTTTGTTCAACCTCTTGCCTTCATTTAGGTTTTCTGATACTTGCTCTTTCTTCTCTGCACTTATTCTACTGCTTAGGATATCTTTGTCTTTGAAAGTACTTTCTGCTCACCTGGCTTTCTCTTCCTCTAGAAGCGCTACCCAGTTTTGAAGGAGCAGATTAACTTCATGTGATTTTAGCTATGTAAAAGTTTAAGTTATTAAGGCTCCCTTTTAAGTGAAGAAAAGTCCTCCAGGAGGAGATTCATCCCATCCCAGTTGTTAAAGTGATTCATTTTACCTGTCTCTCTCCCTTGATTATAGAGGAAGTGTAGCTAACTAGTTTAGATCAGGTGCCCAATTCTGTGCTGCAAAAATTAGGTGAGACAACTCCCATGCTAAATAACTCTTCTCTCAAGCACGTTAATCTTTTCTCTTTAGCGCCCTCCTTGAGTATGCTAGAAAAGTTGAGGTCCTAGTAGCTTTAACCACCAAACGTAGGTAGTGAGTGTCACTAGAAACATGGCCTGCTGAAAGAGATTACTCTAGGGAATCACTATTCTTTACCTTCTCTCAGAATCACAGTTGATACTGATGAGGTCAGTGCGTACAAAACAAAGCCTCCCATTGCTTCTAGCTGCTTTCGAAAGCTTCGTGGTTTTCTTTGCAATGCCTGGGTGCTTGCAGTGAGAAACAAAAAGTCTTAGCCTCACAGGATCAACTACTTTTTAATGGGCTTGCCTCTATAATATATAATGGTTCCTCTAGGTTCTTCCATTAATATAGGCGGTATTTAAAGTAGCGTTCCCTTTTCTTGAGTTGGGCTTACAAAAAGTTCACAGAACCTTTCTCAGCAATTCACAGCCTTTTCACAATAGGAACAGGAGTTTCTCCATAGCCTACCGTTTTTTTTTTGTTGTTTTTTTTTTAATCCCCTCTGCCTGCCCCCCCCCCCCCCCCCCCCTCCATGGCTTTCCCCCCCGGGGCTCTCTTCTTTT